CTAATCCAATTTGTGAAACTGAATTGTTAACTTCAATAACAAACATACCATCTAGTTGCGATACTCGTATAATTCAAACAGAATATGAAATTTGGCATAAATTAAACAAACCAAATTCTTGGATATATGTTTTACCCAAACCAACAGATTTAACTTTAAGCTGTCAGACTAGTACGCCAATATCTATTGTTCTTTCAAACACAGGTATTTTTTCTACTTCGAATAATTGCAAAACTTACACCGGATCAACTATTTTGATATCTGTCTCAAATCCAAAAGAAAGTAATTTTCAGTCTATCATTCCAGATTTATCCCTTCCAGAAGTCTGTTGTGATGATATTAAGATAAATAATGAATCCAAATTACACCTTGTTCCCTTACAATTAAATAATCTCGATCGAGATGCATTAAATTTAGCAAGCCATAAACTAGATAATTTAGAGAAAATGACCTCAGAAACAAATATTAATTTTTCAGACACAATAAAAAATAGTTCTTATTTCACTTATGCAATCTTATTTTTGATAAAATGTATGTTACTTTATATTTTATACAGGATAATTAAATATTTTTACCGACGATTTCGTAGAAATCCGTCACATAGTTGTCAACAAATTACAAATTGTTTAACACTAAATATATGTCAAAGTAAACGAAAACATGTACATGAGACAGATTTAAGTATAGATTGTAAACATAATAAAGACAATAATTATAGTGAATCCAAAAAGTGTGAAGAGACTAGTTTCACAGAGACTACACCGATAAGACGAAGTGAAAGACTATCGAGACTAAAAGAAACTATTTAAATGTGTTAAAATAAAATAATAATGTATACAAATGTTTTATACCATTTAAATGAAAATTCATTTTACAATTATTTTCATTCTTACAAAAGGAGGTGTAATGTACCTACCTACTCACATGTAAGATAATTAAAGTATCTATGTATTTCTATATAGTTTTTAGTCACCTGGTATATGTTATTTACAATTATGAAAAGTTCTCATGTATAATCACTAATAATTATTTGCTGTTAGAAATCAGAATCAATACTCTTCATAAATATTTTCCTATTTAGAATAAATAAGTTTCGCTAGTTTATTCGCCTAATACTTCGTATCTATGGAATAATAGTAATTTATTTCTCTTATTTCTTTGTTCGATAAGCTATCCGTATTTGCTATTTTAATATTAATATTTGAGTCCAATCTCTTGTACTCAAATCCATCCAGAAACATCGTTAAATAATTGTAGATAACAGAACTTATAAATTCATAGTTTTAAGAAATAACAGGCAGTGTAATTTTCATCCTCTAATATAATAAATTTATACATGTCAATATATTCTGTTTAATTCCAAAACAAAGAGTTAGTCCGGAGAAGAAATAAACGCATAGTATTCCATAACACCTTATTATCGGCCTAGTGTCTTAATAATTATGTTCGTAAAATGTTCGTTACTCAAATTATGTAATTTAAGAGTCTTCTGATCTCAGTATGTGTCTAGTTCCAACTACTTTATAGACGTTTTTCACTGATGATGATCTGATGGATCGAAAACGTTCTGAAAATTAATAAATCCATTTTGGATAAATTTAAAATTTTAATAAAAATTTTTTGTCCATTTTAGAAAGGAAGTTTTTACTTCATTGTGAGTTTTTTTAAACCATGGTATACAGCCAACCACTAGAAAGTTCCCTTTTAAATATTACTATAAATGATCATAACTGCAAGGTGGTTAAGGAATTTAAATATCTAGGAGTAACAATCACCAATGATATCAAAGTAGAAAGAGAAGTTGAAACGCGAATGCTGATAGTAAATAGATCTTTATTTGCAATGCAACATCTAATGAGGCCAAATCTTCCCTCACAAGGTGCAAAAATCCAGATATACAAAACCATAAGACGTACAAAATCAAAAAATGGACGCAAACAAAAAAAGAAGTAAATACATTTCTGGTGGGGGAACGTAGCTAAAACTTGTTTTAATTGATAGGTTGTGATGCCAATATGCTATGTTTAAAAGTTTATCGAAATTTTTAATAGATATGGCAATCTATTTATTTGAAACAATTTTCAAACAGATTATAAAAAATTGTTTCCCTTAAAAACCACATTTTTTTAAAAATAATTTGGCTTATATATATTATAACGCGTTATTTCTACGCAACCTTGCTACTTAGGTAGATACAAAGTCAAATTTTCCCACTTGAAATGGTAGCTATAAAAGCGTTTTCTATCCTTTTGATCTGTTCAACAATTGCAAAGTTTACATTTCTTAAAAGCGTGCTATCGCTTTGACAGAAAAGCCAAATATATATATATATATATATATATATATATATATATATATATATATATATATATATATATATATATATATATATATATATATATATTGTTATGATATGTAAAATCGAGAAAAATATTGGTTTGTTTAAAATATTTCAAAATTCAAAAACATTAAATAATTCAGATAAGTAGGATAATACCCAACAAACATTTCGAAGAAGGAAAGTATTTAAATTTTTGGATTACCTGTATTAAACAAAATGTAAACTTTGCATAAATTATTTCCTTTGTTATACTATACTTGAGTGACCCGCATAATTTTAAGTGAAATCCCAAAGACAATTGAACCGGGTTTTTCCAAATACATTAAGGCAGTGATTAAAGACAATAGAAGAGATTTGGAAAGAGGTTTTTGTTAGTTTTTAAGAATTATTGAAAAATATTATTTGTAAATAAGTTTTAGGAAATTTTATAATTATAGGTAAAAATTTATCGGAAGGTTATCGGAATGAAAAAATGGGGAATTGTGACGAGTTTTGATTGGCGGAGATTAAAAAAGGTGGGATAGGTATGTAGGAATGAAAGTTTAGCTAGAATTTTGAGGGAGAAAAGATAGTCAGTTAGTTTCCAAGGGTGCAAGGCGAACGGCCGTTGTTCTCGGGTAGTTTCCCAGAGGTAGGAAGCAGTAGCAGTGAAAGTTTGTGAGTTTTCGTGTAGTTAGTGTATCTGACAGAAGCTGATCCAGTAAAATATTGTAAGTCATATTTTTCTACTTATATTCCAAGAGTCACTGTTCAGGCCAACGAGAGATTCAGTTTATCGTAAAGAAAAGATATTCCAAGAGTCATTTTTCACTCAGGCCAGCGGAGATTCAGTTTATTGAGAGAAGAAGAAGCTAGCATAATTTGAACGATTCGTGCATTTGAAGGAGATCATTAAGGACGAGATACTTGCAATAATTTATTGTAAGATTGCTGATTACTTAGGGAGCGGCCACGAGTAAATAGTATAGTCTACAAATAACAAGGATTTGGACCACTCATCATCAGAGAGAGATAGTTTTGTTTTCTGCAGTTTTTCTTTCATTGATAACAAAATTTTTACACTTAATTTAGAAAGGATATAAATATTTTGATTAGGAGATTTAGAGTAATACTTGGATTTTGAGATTTCAACTAATATTGTTTGTACCATTAATTTTGAAGGTTAACGTACGTAGAACAAAATTTTGAGAATCATTATATGAGATTTGTTTATCGAAAACATTTGAGTGTGAATTATTTCATTATTTTATTTCAATATATAGTGTTATATCATATATGTTTTTTATTATTCCGGTATTCTTTGGACCTTATCTTTCACATGTAATAGCATAGATATTGAAGCACGAATAAAACCCTGAGATAAGAGAATTAAAAATTGTGATAGAAACATAATCATATCATTTAAATAATTTGAATTAATAAAAAAATTAATTCGCTAATTATTGCTTGGCGCACCAAGACTTTAAATATCACAATAATATATATATATATATATATATATATATATATATATATATATATATATATATATATATAGCGTATAATGGACAAAAATAAGGTAGTAATCCTAGAGAAGTTACTTGGTAGCTGCCACCCTGTATTTTCACCAGAACAAGAACAACTTGTAAGACATATTCTAGATTTTGAAAGTAGGATGTATGGACTTAGCTTGCGTGATTTGCGACAATTAGCGTATCAGCTTGATGAAAAAACAAACTGCCCTACAAGTTTTTCCATGTCGAAAAAGCTGTTGGTAAAGATTGGTTAAATGGTTTTAGAAGAAGACATACAGAAATTTACTTGAGATGACCTCAAGCGACCTCAGCTGCTAGAGCAAGAGCCTTCAACAAACCGGTACAAAGACCAAGTTCAACAAAGTGTGGCAAAGTTCTTTAATCTGTTAAAGGAGATTTATGCAAAAAATAATTATGCTCCTCACCAAATTTATAACATAGATGAGGTTTCGATTTCTACTGTTCCTGAGCGAAAATCAAGAATATTAGTATAAGCTGTAGTTTGTGTATCAGCTGCAAGAGTTTTGCAATGCAATGCTAATTTTCAGCAGAAAGCGAATGAACCCTGTACTAGCTCCTCCGGGTACCATATATGCTTGTAATGAAAGTGGTTGGATGCGTACAAAAGTTTTTAAGCATTGGTTTACTCATTTGGATACTCAGCCAAGTATCCATGAGCCCGTCTTACTTATATTAGATGGACATTTATCGCACACCAAAAATTTCGATGTTATTGTTAGTGCCAGAGAAAACTTTGTAACTATCTTGTGTTTACCTCCCCACTGCACGCACAAGCTGCAGCCGCTGGACGTTGGTGTTATGGGTCCACTTAGCGTTTATTAAGACCAATCATTAGAAAAATGGTTGAATCATCATTCTTGTAGGACCGTGCCAGTGTTTAAAATTAGCCTAATATTTTGCGAAGGCATTTGACCCAGAGGTTTTTTCACATGTTGACTTCTTAGCAGCTGAAGTAACTGACCTTGATAATGATGAGAATATGGATCAAGGCTCAAGGATCTAGTTTAAGTAAAGTAGCTGATTTATCGACCGGCATAACCAACAAAGCAGATAATGGTTCTAGCGAAATAAACGATCTGTACAAGAATCCTGAGCCTGGACCCAGCTCAAAATGAGATGAACAAATGAATTTATCGCCTACAGTTACACCACAAGAATGCCAACATTTTCCTAAAATTCAAGGCAAGAGAAACACAACAAAAAGAAAATCTTGTGGAAGTGCATTGTTAACTAACACGCCATACAAAACTGCTCTTGAAGAGATCAAAAGGAACAAGAAAATCAGAACCAACAAGAAGCAAAAAGAAAGGCAATTAAAAGGAAAATGGAAATAATAAGAAAACACTCAAACAAAAGCGACCAAAACAACAAAAGAATATAAAAGAAAGTCTACCCGACTCTTCTGATTCAGAAGACAACCAGAGATATGCAACTTGTCTCTACTGCTCTGAGAAATATTTTACTTCAGTTGACGGATGGATTCAATGCCGAAAGTGTTTGGAATAGACTCTCGAATTGTATGCGGGAGTTGAAGAAGACGAAAATAAATTCCTTCGTTAACATTGCTGCGATGTTCCCTTTGCGTTAGCCAGAGTTCATAGAAAGATTAGGTTTTAAAGACATTTTTTTTATATTATATTTGTTGTTTGTAGAAGGGATCGTTTTACCTCCAATATCTGGGTAAAATGATCCTGTTGCTATTATTTTTTTATTTTGTGTATTTTTAAAAAGCAAATAAAGATTGTTTTCAAAAAAAATCGTTTTCTGTTAAGATAAATTACTCTTTTAGAGGTTTTAGAGTTTTACTCTATTAAAATGCAAACATATTTTGCCATTTTTAAGAAGTTTTTTTCTTAAGGGATCATTTTACCTCCCCTCCCCTACTAGCTGACCTGATAAACGTTGTTTTCCTATATAAATTATTTCTAGTGAATATTTTGGTAGTTAATTAAAAAAAATAGCTTATTGCAAGTATGTGGGGATGAGATATGAAAGAGGAATGAAGCGCTGTGGACGATGACAGCCTATAAAAATAACAAGACACCAACCATTCATTGTTGATCACTTGCGGCATTATTGTGAACTGTTTCTGTTTCTCCGAACAATATTATTTAGAAATATGAATTGAATGAGAGAATGAAATTTAGGAACAAGTATGAATCTGCATCCGTACTGATAAGTAAGCCGTTCAAATGGTTCTGGTGGCATTTCTCTTAGTTCTGACGCTAAACACATCCCGGCTGATATACTCGAATGTTGGACCAAAGAATATAGACGCTTATAGAAGAACAGTTCAAATGGACGATTTGGCTAGGGTTTACACTTTAAAACATATCTGGCAGTCGGGCTTAAACTATCTCATAAAAGATGTAGTTAGGGGAAAGTGGGAAAGGAGTACGAACGGAGGAGCTATTTATTTAACTTTGCATCTACGATTAAAAAAAATCCCATGCTTTTTTTGTTTTTTTTTTCACAATAAAATCTTTATTTTCAATATATTAAATTGTTAAATTTTGAATTTTGAAATTTAAAAAGGTATGATATTTACAATATTCAAAGCATTTATTTTTTACATTTTATAACTTTGAATTAAAAATAGCTTTGTTCCAACACAACGAAAAACCGTCACATAAATTTTTATTATACTGTTTTTCTGCCCAAAAATGTTGTACAGTGTTGTGTTTTACATTTTATGTTATTTTATATTAAAAACAAAGAAGAAATTATTAAATTTAGAAAATTTGGAAATATTTCATTCCGGTGATTGATGACTTTATTGGTTGAATTAATTTTATAGTTAATAAAAAGAGAGTTCTTCTTATTAACTATAATATTATTTGTAGATTTGTACCTATTTAAATTAAAAATTCGAATCATACTATTTTTTCTAATAAGATTCATTTATTAAAAGTTAAAATATTATTATTTTCTTTAAAAAATATTATAAAACGCAAAAATTTAATCCTATTCTACGGCCACGCGGCATTATGTGTTCGCAGTTCTCTGGCATTATACATAAAAATATCTGTTGCATTTGTTGCCCCACTCTTTCATATTTTAAAAGCAATAATAGCGTTGACATGACCGCTCCCTTCTCGATCCACCCTCTCATTCTTTTTCATAACGTGCGATCATCTTTTGCAAACTTTCAAACATAACAGTGAAAGATTCTTCTATAAGCGTCTATATATTCTTTGGTTGGACGAAAGAACGATTCGGATGTAAATACTCGATGTAGTTATTGGTGTTGTCGGTCATTTGCTCTGGTATCTTCCTGGTATTGTTCACTGTATATCACACAAAATAGAGCAAATTGATGTAATAAATAATGAAAAACAGTATACTGATAATGTTTTAATATTTTAACGACCTTTCACCATCATAAAACATGTATATATTTCTTTTAATTTAAAATGATTCGCACAAAATTTGGCACGCGCTCAGTATTTTCTTCTTCTTTTATGTATACATGACTCTGTTTTTTTTTTTCAAGGTGCCTCCAGTAAAATTTGTTTCCATCGTTTTCGTGGTCTTCCCACTGATCGTCTTTCTATTGGGAACCGTATCTCGTCGCCTGTACTACTTACTCTATTGATTGTCATTCGGTTTATATGATCGTTCCATTCTACTCTTCTATTTCTTACCCAGTTCTTGATGTTCTCCACCTTGCATCTCCGTCGTATATCTGTACTTCTAGCTTTGCCTCACAGTGACTTACCATTAATTTTTCTAAAATGTTTTATCTTTGCTGTTTCTAGCATTATTTTTGTTCTTTCTGTGTCGGGTCGTGTTTATGTCGTTCTTGGCCTTACTTACTTTTACTTTACTTTTTATTCCTCCATATTGTTTCATCCTGCGGCTCTGTTTGCTCTATTCACTTAAGAATAATAGTATTATCAATTAAGCGAGAGAAAACGTATTACGTGACAGAGACCGGCTCCTTTCTCACCCCTACTCCTTGCTGTTTGGGTTTGGGTGAGAAGTGACACCTGTAGACGCCTGGTGTGAATATCTTGATTGATAATTAATTGATCAGTTTTCGACTACTCAGAAAGGAAGATTTCAGCATTAAAGTTGCATTATCGACTATGTAGCATAAATTTTTTCTTATCACTATCGAATATTTTAAGTGTATAACAATTTATTTGATACGCTCCTAGCTGGTACGTAATAATAATCTGAAATTTTGTTTACCCAGATGTGTATGCGAGACATCTAAGAAAATATTAACTACGTAGAGTCTATTTTTTATGTCTTTATTAAATAAATTCACACAAAAAATTTAAGACCCGGCACTCGTAAGGTCCATTATCGAATTAAAAGTGTAATTAAAAAGGGTTCCGATTAGCTGGCAGTTAGAAACTAGATGGGAAGAGACATACAGAGGGCTGACAATGAAAGGTTGGTGGGAGTTAAGTGGGAATAAAGGCTTATTTTCTGTAATAGTTGCAAAAACCGGCAAATTTTGGTTTAACTCGAATGAGTTTTGGTTAAAAAGAAGGAGATTAGGCTCAGATGCTATGTGGTAGTATTTGTGAAGCGAGATAATCACCGGTTTGTTGCTATATTCCGTGTCACGGGATTTGATAAACAGCGTGCCTGAGATCTAAGTGAGACCCATATGGGTAGAATCCAGATCGTTTGAAGTTTGTGGACAATGTTTTTTTGTATCCAATTTAAAGTTAATAAACTTTTTTAATAATTTAAAAGAATATAATTAGCCACTGAAGAAGATAGTTTTGTTAAAAATTTCTAAATGAACATTTTTCGTTAATATACTAAGATTTGCTTTCATGGCAAATTAATAAGTTTATAAATAAATACAAGTTTTATAGATCAGCTAATTGTCACATTTAGTTTTCTTTTAAATAAAATTAACCTTGATAATTAATTATTATTTCAGAAAAGTTTGTTATTTCGACAAATGACAGTCAGTATATCCTTTTCTGTCATTTGGTACATAACCAAAATTTTAAAGTTTGTTTTATTAGAAGGTTCAATGTAACAATTGTTGATAAACATAGCTCTTAAATTCTATTTTATTAGAAGGTTAAACTCAATGTAAGTTTTTTAGATAGATTTGGATATTTTTATTTGTAAAAATTGTTTATGTGAAATAAAAATAAATACGTAATGTTTCTCATTAAACCAGGAGTTTAAAATTATTTCTTTTAAACAGATTTTCATCCTTGAAATTTTTTAGTAGAAAAAAGATTTATTTCCAAGCTGCAAGAGCATTCTTTTCAACGGCGTCCTATTTTAAATAGTTTAGGAATCTTCTTGTGTAGTGTTGCCCAAGACATCTATGTAAGTATTTTTTGATTTCTTTTTCGTAGTTCGTTTCTCCTAGTCCCCCAAATAAAGAAACCCTTATACACGACCTAGCTCTCCAACCAAAACACGAGTAGTAAATATGGCCGCCGAACAATTTCAAGAGGTTGTCATATCTGCTTTCGAAGACAATTGTCCAGAGATAGTGAGGAATTCCAACAGAAAAGTACCCTGGTACAATAACGAACTTGAAAATAAAAGTAAAATTTAATTTCGATAAAAAACAAGTGAGTAGGGCGATTATCGCAAAGCTCCGACTAAATATAATAAGGAACAGACTGTAAATGTGTCAAGTCTCCATAAAGTTTACTTAAATAAGTATTCTCTCACTCCAAAAAGAGTCAAGTGAATACACTCACAATAGTGAAAAAAGACAGAACTTTTTAGGGTGCACTTTCCCGAGTCTAAAACAAAACTGATACCACTAGAGACATGGTAGCAGACTAGACTGAACCATACAGTGCCAACAAAAGTAGCTAGTGGCTGTTCACAGGAGGGGAGCCGTATCTCCTGTCTTGTGGAATATGTTCATGGATGGGCTGATAGCTAGACTCCGCAACGACAGGAATCATGAACATTTTTTTTTGAACCTATTCTCTATCCTTCCATTGTTGGATATAGATCTCCCCCAGTTCTTTCCATCTTTCCCTATCTTGAGCTGTTCTCTGCCATGTGGGACCTCCTTGTTTCCTGATGTCATCTTTCCACCTCATCTGTGGTCTGCCTCTTGATCTCTTTGCATTGTATGGACGCCACTTTCCGATGGCATTGTTCCATCGTCCGTCTTGGAGACGTTCATTGTGTCCAGTCCATTTCCATTTTAGTTTTGCTGCTTGTTGTATCGCGTCTACTGTCTTTGTTCTGGTTCTGATCCACTGGTTACGTTTTCTATCTCTAAGTGATACACCCAACATTTGTCTCTCCATCGCTCTTTGTGCCTTCCTTATCCTATCCAAATTGGCCTGTGTAAATGTCCATGTCTGTGCTCCGTAGGTGAGCACCG